GAAAACTTCGTTGTGAACCTTCCTCGAGCAGGCGTGCAACGTCTTCATTAGTCGGTGAATGAAGGTATTCCTCCCCAAATATGTTGATAATCGATCGAACGAACCTCTTCATGCTCTCAAGCGACGTACTTTTACCGATCGGAACGTAGTCGTCAACGGCGTCAGCGGATGCTCTATATGCGAGCATCCGCATAGCTGCAGTAATCTTTTGAAGGCTAGATAGTCCCAACTATCCAGCACGATTCCTCTTTTGGACGAAGTACTTGTCATGTTCGACGACTGCGTCGTGGATTCGAAGGAATAACAAACGCGGTATTCTGAATCTTCGACGAAAATAATAAAGAGGATAGGTTGGTGCGTCAGCAAAATAATCTTGGATCAACCGATTGTGGCCTTCCAGTTGGTTTCGATGGAACACGATACGTCTTTTGTGTTGAACTGAAGTTGAACCTTTCTCTTGTTCTTCTTCCTCGACGACAACAGCTCCTATAAGAAAGAATGTCTTCATCATTTCATCATCGCTAGAGCTAGATGAGCTAGACATTTTTTCTGGGAGACTGGGTTGAGGTGAGAAGGCATCGAATTTTATAGGAATCAGTCGGTTGACAGTCAAAGTTTGCGATACCTCGAACTTCGTGCCCAACCTCGAAGACTGCGGGCTACCTCGAAGACCGTGTGCGTTCCCTCGAAGACCGTGGATTACCTCGAAGACCGTGTGCACTCCCTCGAAGACCGTATCCAACAGTTAGAAATGAAATAAAAGAGGTTTAAATATAATTGAAAGTAATGGGTAAAAAAATTAAAATAGAAGTGGGTTTTTTTTGATATTGTTGGAGCTCCTAACTAGGAGATTGTTGGAGCTCCATAAAATAAGGAGGACCCCTCAAGACTTATTTTTATAATTTTTTATTTCAAAATGCTTGATAACTCTTGAGAGCTTAGGAGATGTTTGGTTGTTGTTGGTAAAGTTGTGTATTTATGACACAACTTGAAAAGTTGTTGTCCACCTCATCAATTTTACTTTTATACTTTTCTTTGTTTGTTTTTTATTTCATTGGAATTATAAATTGCTTGTTTGGTCTGCAAATGTAACTTTAATTGTTTGTTTGGAAAGTAAAAAAAATGGTCCCTACTCAAATGATCATATTGGTTGAAATTATTTTTTATTATTTTTTTCTGACTTCAATGTCAGCTTTTTCCTAAAATCATGTTTTTTTTATGAAATCACTTTACAAGCCACATCAGCATATGAAATTACTTTACACTATTTTCATAACTACAAATAAACAATTGAAAGTGATGAAAACTGATATTGAGATCCATTTTTTACACTTTTTATCTTTTTATATGATAAAAACATACAACCAAACGGTCAGGGCTCCCAACTTGGAGCTTGCTGGACTTGCCCTTAGCAAAGCTCTCAACATCTTCATCTCTCTTTGAGATTACTGATTACTGCTCATCTAACCAATTTCTTTGCAGGGTCTTTGATTATTTATTAACCAATTTCTTTGCAGGATCTTACACATCTGTCTCCTCTGAGAAGATGAGGTCGAGAATGAGATCTCGGGCCCCGCTTCGAGAAGTCGGATCCACAATTTTCATCCCTCCTCTTCGATCCTCTTCTCTTCCGAATCCGCTGTCGAGACAGAGCAGTGTAAGTTTCATTTTTCATCCCTCCTCTTCGATCCTCTTCTCTTCCGAATCCGCTGTCGAGACAGAGCAGTGTAAGTTTCATCTTTCTTTTCAGTGAATTCTCATTTTCTCCTTCCGAATCCGCTGTCGAGACAGAGCAGTGTAAGTTTCATCTTTCTTTTCAGTGAATTCTCATTTTCTTTGTATTTGGGATTATGGGTTTTGTTTGTTTCGTGTTTTGGAGGGAACTCGTGGGTTTTAGGATTAACAGTAGGACTTTGTTCAGTTTTATCTGGCATCTTTAGTAGCGAGAGAAATTTAATGAAAGTAGGGATCTTGAGATCTATTCTTTCATTGTTATTCTCCAAGAACTTACTTTTCTATAATTGGGTTTATGAGTTTTGTTCTTTTTAATGTTTTTTGGGGGTTTTCCCCCTGAAATTTTAGAATTTTTATCAATAGGGTTTTGTTGGGTTATTCATTAGTTTCAGATATTCTTGAAATTTCCCCTTCTACTATTCTTAGGTAATTAAATTCTTGAACGCTTAAAATATTCCGTACTTCAGGAATCTAATCTGTTCATTTCTTGATAAAAATTACAGGCTGACAGATTCATACCAGATCGATCTGCTATGGACTTCGACTACGCCCACTATGCCCTAACAGAATCAAGAAAAGAAAAGGAAAACAACTCATCAGCAACTGCATCCCCATCCAAAGAAGCCTACAGAAAACTCCTAGTCGAGACCCTCAACAACCGAACCCGAAATCCTAGCCTTCAAGAGCAAACCCCCAACCCCTACTGATGGCTTCTTATCGGGTACAACATCTGACCCGTTAACCTTCTCCTCTCACCTAACCAAACCGAAACAAAGAAGATACATTTCTCAGACTGCAGAGCTGACATTGGATGCTCCTCGTCTTGTTGATGATTATTACCTTAATCTTCTTGATTGGGGAAGTAGCAATGTGCTCTCGATTGCACTTGGAAATACTGTGTATTTGTTGAATGCTTCGAATGGATCGTCATCTGAGCTTGTGACAATTGATGAGGATGTTGGTCCTGTGACTAGTGTTAGCTGGGCTCCTGATGGCCAGCATATTGCTGTGGGGCTTAATAATTCTCATATTCAGTTGTGGGATTCGACCAACAGTCGACTGGTTAGTACTCTTTTCTCTTTGTATTTTGATTTCGATTAGTCTCGGTAAATTCTTTGAGAATTGGTAGATTTAAGTTGTTGTTGCTTTGCACCTCAAGTTTGCAAAAACGGGTTATTTGAAAAGTTCATTTCGTGAGCCTATCTAGTTTTCCAATTAACGAGTAATCGCTTGCGTCGTCTAGGATTTGGATACTTTGTACTGCAATTAGGTAATTAAGAGATCAGTTCTTCGATCATAACTGTTTATTACTTATATCTGATTATAACTTTTACTCGAAGTGGACATAGAATCAGTCATCTACATTTTAGATAATTATGATTTTGTCAATGTGGTATTAGGAGGTGACTCAAATTTGCAAACATATGGATTTGGGTACTGCGGAGTCCACTTAGGCCATAGCTAATCCTGATTATCCTGCAATTTCAGAAATGAATCACATTCATCAATATTTTATTTGGTAGTAATGATTCGAAGAAAAATGTTACTGAAAAACAAAACTTGCAATTTATATGTGGATTTGGATTCCCTCCAACTTATTCAATTAAACTTATTTTGATTTATTGCTTCTGGAATAGACTACTGACATCGGAGTATTTTTTTTACTGCAATTTCTACAGCTAAGAACATTGAAACGAGTCGACAGATCTCAGGTCGGCTCTCTCGCCTGGAACAACAACATCCTAACAACCGGAGGAATGGATGGAAAAATCGTAAACAACGATGTCAGAATCCGATCACACGCCATCCAAACTTACCGAGGACACACCCAGGAAGTCTGCGGCCTTAAATGGTCAGGCTCAGGCCAGCAACTCGCTAGCGGAGGCAATGACAACCTGCTCCACATCTGGGACCTCTCAACGTCATCCTCAACACCTCCAAACCCAAACCAATATGTTCATCGCTTCGAAGATCACATGGCAGCTGTCAAAGCCCTAGCTTGGTGCCCATTTCAAAGCAACTTAATAGCTTCAGGTGGAGGTGGAAGTGATCGATGCATAAAATTTGGAACACTCACACTGGGGCTTGTTTGAATTTGATAAATACTGGGTCTCAGGTTTGCTCGCTGCTTTGGAATAAAAATGAGAGGGAGTTGTTGAGGTCTCATGGGTTTAAGAATCAGTTGACGCTTTGGAAGTATCCTTCAATGGTTAATATGGCAGAGTTGACTGGACATACTTCCAGGCTTTGGAATGTTTTTGAAACTCCTGAAGTTGCTAAGGGGAACTCAGTGCCCTTCAGTAGTTATAATCATATTAGGTAAAAAAAGTTTTACTGGAAGGTTCAGGGGGATGGATCGAAATTCGAGGAGTTTTTATGTGATTTAATCACTATAGGAAAGGTAAAATTTAGGTTCATCAATTTGGAGTTTCAGGTTCGATGAAGTTTAGTTTTGCTGAACATTTCATTTGTGTGTTTTGCAGGTCAGTGGCAGGAGGCCGCTACATTCACTGACTGGCTGTTTTGTGAGATTTTCCTCTCTTTTTTGCTAGGCATATAGTACATATGCCTTTAATATTAAGTTTCCTAAGAGATATTTTGATTATTTTCTTATTTAATTCAGTATCTAGACTCTCAGACAGAAATTAATGAGAAAATGAGGGTCATTGTTGGAGATTGGCTGATTGAAGTGCATCACAAATTTGTGATGCACTTCAATCAGCCAATCTCCAACAATGGCCCACAATTTCTCTTTAATCTCTGTCTGAGAGTCTATATAGTCATGAGGCCTGTTAGATTGCTACATAGATATTACAAACAATCACAGTCAATACTTGAACAGGCAAAATTGTGGTACAATATCAACAAAAATGAATGAATAATCTAACCTTAGAAAGCTTATAAAACTTGAAGAGATCCTCAACATAGTCAACAACAACGAGTTGATCACCGATATTTGATGCATCAATGTCTGGGATAGAATCTTTGAGTTTTTCAGTAACACCGCAAGCTGCCTACATGAACCCAAGATAGATGCAAAAGATTAACTCAAAACCTTAAATAGGGTATTGATCCAACTATCGATTTTACTTAGTTACTCTCTAATTTCTTTCAAATTTGGTTCTTTTCGTGGGCTAGGCTATTTTAGGAGTATTACCTTTTTAATATTTGATTTAAATCCGTGTCAGGTAAGATTTGAATCCAAAAATTCACTGACACTTTGTATAGAGTTATAATTTTATACTCTACGAATTACCCATTGACTTTTTTGGGTAATTGGTAGAGTATAAAATTATAACGCGATGCAAAGTGTCAGTGAATTTTTGGATTCAAATCTTACCGGACGCGGATTTAAATCAAATATTAAAAAGGTTATACTCCTAAAATAGCCTAGCCCACGAAAAGAACCAAATCTGAAAGAAATTAGAGAGTAACTAAGTAAAATAGATAGTTGGATCAATACCCTATTTAATGTTTTGAGTTAATCTTTGCATCTATCTTGGGTTCATGTAGGTTGCTTGCGGTGTTACTGAAAAACTCAAAGATTCTATCCCAGACATTGATGCATCAGATATCGGTGATCAACTCGTTGTTGTTGACTATGTTGAGGATCTCTACAAGTTTTATAAGATTTCTAAGGTTAGATTATTCATTCATTTTTGTTGATATTGTACCACAATTTTGCCTGTTTAAGTATTGACTGTGATTGTTTGTAATATCTATGCAGCAATCTAGCATGCCTCATGACTATATAGACTCTCAGACAGAGATTAAAGAGAAAATGAGGGCCATTGTTGGAGATTGGCTGATTGAAGTGCATCACAAATTTGAGCTGATGCCGGAGACTATCTACCTTACTTTCTATATAATTGATCGATATTTGTCAATGAAAAAAGTTCTGAGGAGAGAATTGCAGCTTGTTGGTGTGAGTTCCATGCTCATTGCCTCCAAGTACGAGGAAATTTGGGCTCCACAGGTATGTTTGCTATTGGTTTTTTGATTATTTTCTTGAGTTACATCTTTCTTTTTGCTAGATAAGTTCCAAAAAATTCACAAGTTACTGCTATCACTATTTTACAGCATAAACAAGTCCATGACTGCCAGTAAATTGTAATGTGTATTTCTTCTGGTTGGCTGATTCTATTGTAATATGGATCTTAGATTATTGTAGTTATCTCAACTTTTCCCCATTAAAATTATACCTGATAATTTTCTGCATATGTCAATTTGTTGCACTTTATTGGCATAGGTAGAGGATTTCATATGCTTATCAGACCGAGCATACAGCCAAGAACAGATCCTGGCCATGGAGAAATCAGATATTAGTGTCCATTTCTGAGAGGAAAAATGGTTACGTCATAACTTTTTACATAGCTTATTCCCTCAAGCTTAAAAATGTCTTATCATTCAATTAAATACGTCTTTATGAGATATTTTAACCTCCATGAATCTAATCTACTCGTAATTCTCTGCAAATTCTCCTCTCATTTACGTTAGTCGGGTCATCAGCAGTAGTAGTATTTCCATCAATAATAACCAAGTACAGATCAAATAGGGAAAATAATGGAAATAATAATCAACAAGAGCAGAATTAAATACCTGTCGATGGACATGATTGGATGTATTGTTGTTGGTCTGACACCAACGGAGGTTTTTGTAATTGGAGTTGATGACGATACGATATCTGCTTTCTTTTGAAAATAAGAGGAGGTTAGCTCATGGTCCTAAAAACCCTATTAATCAAAGTTCGCAATGGCAGAAACAAGATAAGTATAAGATGGAGGCTTTACTCAAATTCATGAAAAGTCTAAGGTATTTTGATGAAATTAAGATAAAAAGCCTGAACATAGCACTTACAGCACCAAGTAGTTTTTTTGTTCGCTATGCTGCTTATGTTTGTAGGATGTAGACTTTAAGAACTGACCTATCCTTTCCTCTTATCTGAGTTTTTGTTCTTCAAATTTCTTCCCAACTGATCAAGTTTTTATGGACATCCAATTCTTCGAAGCCAGCAATCTCGAGTCCTTCCACTCTAAAAGAAATTCATCATCAAGCACAAATCTAAGTGGCGATGTCAAACCAAAGGCAGCTCCAAAGACCAGCAGATCTCTCTCATGACTCCCAGATCCCCGGAGCAAATATCAATTTGGTGAGCTTATCTATCCTGTCAGCCTCAGGCCTGAGCGAGCACCTCAATATCCCGTCTGAATCTGATGATGATGTTGATGATGAAGAAGATAGTCCAACATCTGACAAGCTACACCCAAAAAATAACCATCCTTTCTGGTGGAGATCCATGATAGAATCAGCATCTCACAATTGTCCTCATCTCTACACTTCCAATTTCCTCTTTCAAACAGCAACATCTTTGGGGCCTTGGTTTTTGTAATTGGAGTTGATGACGATACAAGATCTGCTTTCTTTTGAGAATAAGAGGAGGTTAGCTCATAATCCTAAAAACCCTATTAATTGAAGTTCGCAATGGCAGAAACAAGATTAGATGGAGGCTTGACTCAAATTCATGAAAAGTCTAAGGTATTGTGATAAAATTAAGATAAAAAGCCTAAACATTTCCATCTTGTCATTGTTTTTCTTTAATTTAGTATTCAATATATAACAGATTGGTAAAGGAAATCTCTCCTTGATAAATTCGAATCAACCTGTCATGTATCGATATATTATACATTTGAATATGTAATGTAATATTAAGATATGAAAAACAATATCCCGTTGTAGCAACAAAGAATTGAAGTATCCAATAAGGCTAATTCGCACAATTCAAATACCCATTTTCATAGTTAATTATAAGTTTACGTTAACTAATAACCATTAATCATTCGGTGACAATTGAATTAGAGACATGCAAAACAGCAGAATTATTATGCAAACGAAATAACAACTGTGGCGACTAATAGCAACAATATTAACAATGTGGCATTGTAAGAGCTAAAAGGGGGAAAAAATTGTGAGAAAAGGAAATAATAGAAAATCATGAGGGTTCACACAAACATCAAGAAAAATGTCTTATCATTCAATTAAATACATCTTTATGAGATATTTTAGCCTCCATGAATCCAATCTACTTGTTGTTAGTCTAAGTGTAGACCCAAAGTTGAAGCCGAAGTTGGAATCAAGAAGATGAAACAAAACGAAGGAAACATGAAAACTACAGTACGGTCGACCGTGGTGCTCTCGGCGGTCGACCGCGAACGTGCACGTGACTGAAAAAAGTCTAAGGACTTTTCGCGATCGACCGACCGCGAACGTGCACAAAACAGAAAAAGTCTTTGGACCTTTTCCGGTTGACCGCGACAGTTGGTGCGGTCGACCGCGCCTGGACCCTGGAGTTAAGTTGGTCTCTAGACTTTTTACGGTCGACCGTGACTGGTTCGGCGGTCGACCACGAGTCGAGCTGGCAGTTTCCTAATCTGTTTTGAATTCTGTTTGGGCTGAGATTCATATATATATCTATATGTTTTCTAGGGCTAATTAAGGACGTGAAAAACCATTAGAAGAGAAAAGAAAAGAGAGAAAATCTCAGAGAGATTAATCCTTTGTTTGAGTGCTTGTATTCCTTCTTCAATTATTCAAAGAGATTATGTGGTGTGGCTCCCGAGGACGTAGGCACGTTGTCGAACCTCGTTAAATTAGTGTGTTCTCTCTTGTTCTTATTTTTGCAAGTTTTATATTTAATTTATGGTGAATTTCTTTCTTGCTCAACTTTCTAACAAGGTCCGGAAGGGCATGAGTTCGATTTGATTGTTTCGAATCCCTCAACACTCGTAATCCTCTGCAGCTTCTCCTCTCATTTACGTTTGTCTGGTCATCAGCAATAGTAGTATTTCCATCAATAATAACCAACTACAGATCAAATGGGGAAAATAATGGAAATATTAATCAACAAGAGCAGAATTAAATACATGTCGATGGACACGATTGGAGTCGGTATTGTTGATCTGACACCAACGGATGTTTTTGTAATTGGAGTTGATGACGATATGAGATTTGCTTTCTTTTGAGAATAAGAGGAGGTTATTCTTGTGTTTGGGTTGGAAATAGAAATGTCAAGGGTTGTTATCTTCCTTTTATATTTTTTTCACATTCGGTGCACCCGTTTTTAAGAAATTTCTGAAGTCATGCAACCCAACGAACTTTTTAATGCCTTTACACATAGTCTATTTATCAAAACATTATAGGAATTCATGACAGCTAAGAAGGTATGTAGTAGCATACAACGGAGACTTATACGTACTTTTAATATTCAAAATTTCTATCCAGAAAAGGTACGTATTTTCCCTATTTAGATAGCTATATTTGTAATATTTTAAGAAAAGCATAAATATGGTTAAGGAAAATTAAAAATCGGAGCTTGTATTGTCGAAAAATAATAGAAACAACACCCAATACCTTACACTGAAATCAGTGGAATTTGGACATCAGCCTACTAAACAAATTTATTCAACACTTATATAGGCAACTGATTTCCTACTTCGAAGATAAAGAAGAAAGCTCTATCTACGACACACTTCATATGCATTTCTCTAACAGGGTCAATGATCAGGAAAAATGTTAATGAAATAAAAAAGGTATATCTACGACACACTTCACAACCAATTTTCAAAAGTCAAATCAGAGAGTTATCATGCAAAAAAAAAAAAAAAAAACCTGTAAAAGCGTAGAGTGATTATTAAATGGCCGAAAATTATAACTTACATACAATGTAATTGTATGAAAATAGTCAAAAGTTCGACTTCAACAAGGTTCTACCCTTCTGCTTGCGGCCATTGTTTAACAGCATAGGGTCTAAAAGTTATCAGCTGCCCCTAAAACATGTATTCATGATTGGTTATTACTTTGGAGTATATCATAATGAACATAGAGCGAACAAGGTTCATCATTTATTGAATGAATAGAAATGAGTCTACTTTTGAAATGCATGAAAAAATGTTAATTGCATTATAATAGAATCTTATTTTGTGGAAAGACAATTAATAAGGCTCTTCAGGAATTTTGATATGGGATGCCTATGGACTAAATCATTATATAATGTTTTTGGAGCTGGTTGTCACATATTTTTAGTTACAAGTTTTGGCTGTTGAGGAAGGTGAGTTTAATGTTTTGTTCTTTCAATATAAACTAAGCATATAGCTCCTTCATCCTTTCTAAGATATTCAATTAGATTTTATTGTGGAAAGCATGAGGTTTAAGGAGGTCTAATAAAAATCTGTGTTGGAGTTATATAATAAAGATAACTTAAAACTTGAGTTTGTAGAGGAAAAGAGGAAAAAGTTTAGTCCCACATTGAAAAAGAGATGGGAAGATAGGCTCTTTATAAGCCTTCCTTTTCTCTCCTATGCCTAGAAGAAAACAAAGGTTATGCTCCACACCACACACGCGCGCGCCGGCCGGGCTCGGGGTCGGGTCGGGTGGCGCGCGCACACGACCTGCGGACACGAATGCAGCTCCGGTCTGAGGGGCCCTTAATCTGCTATATTTTTATTTTTGAACAATTAACATGTGATAAATATTTTGTAACAGAAATATTTTGTAACGGTAAAAATTTATTAGTGTGATTAAAAACGTGATAAATATTTTGTGAATTTATTATGTAACGGAAGCGTTTTTTAATTTTATAACGGCTAAGTTTTATTAACGTGATTAAAACGTATTAATTACGAGATTATGAGTAACGGCTGTTTTTCCCTATAAAAGGATCTAAATTCCGAAGAGTTTTACACAGTGAAAAATTAACAGATCTCTTCTCTCCTTCTCTTTTCAAAATAGTTTTCTATTTACGCTGGTTCCCTGAAAGTCTAGAAGAATTCGCAAAACCTTCTTGAAGCTCGTGCCGACGAGAAGGAGGTCGTCTGACCGAGGGTCGTTGTATCTCCGGGGACTTTTGCCGCGTAGCCCTGTACGAGAGGGGGCAATTAGTTTCTTGGGACAGTGCTTGCACGCCTCGACCATCAGGCTATATTCTAAACTCAGCTTAATTTTATATCTATTTTTGAATCATTATCTAATTCTGTTAAAACTGCATTTTGTGCTAATTACACTCTAAACAGCTTATATTCCCAACAATCCAAGAAACTAATTGGTGCTGTTTAGAATAGTATCATGATTAGCATTCTGATTTTCATGTTAATGATGTCTGCAATACTTAAAAACGAAATGTTACACTGCATGATTATTCTGTTGAATGAATGCTTTATATATTTCTGTTGCATTATAATAACAAAACTATTCATTCATAATCAGATTATGGCTACAAGTGAAATTATGTCTGCTAAACCAGAGAAGTTTGATGGGAATAATTTTCGTCGTTGGCAAAACCAAATGAGATTTTGGTTAACAACCCTACATCTAATAACAGCCATAGAACCAGATAACCCATCTTCATCTAGACCAGTTACTAGGCAATCTTCCTCATCTTCCTCCACAGATTCCATTCCTATCCCAAGAACACCTCAAGAAATAGAGTATCATTGTCTACATAGAATCTTAGGAGCTTTATCTGATAGATTATATGATATATACTATACTATCACTAATGCTAAAGTTCTGTGGGAAACCCTAGAGAAAAAGTATGGTTTAGATGATATGGGAATTAAAAGATTTAAAGCTTCTGATTTTAACAAATTTAAAATGGTAGATTCTAAACCAATGAATGAGCAAATTCATGAATTTGAACATATAGTTCACCAACTAAAAGTGAATGGATCTATCCTAGATGAAACATTTCAGATAGCATGTCTTATAGACAAACTTCCCGAGTCCTGGTCAGATTTTGCCAAAAACCTTAACCATACCCAAGGAGATCTTACACTAGAACAAGTGTTGAATTCCATTAGAATTGAAGAGCAACATAGACTCAGGGAGAAAAATGTGACAAAATCTGAACCCAAAGAACCCAAAGTAAACAATGTTGAATCCAAACCCTTTCCCCAACACAAGAAACGT